TGTATAAAAATAAACCCATATCTTATATATAATATAAATTGATTCATTTAAATTTTGATTCATTTGTACAATTTTAACATATTTATTAGTGCATTTCTAATTACTTAAATAGATCACAACTAATAATTCATCTAGCTATGTAGAAATAGATTTATTTACTATAATGATTATAATATTATGTAAAGTCATATGTAATATCTTTTATTGCAATAGGCTTGGAACTTATTTATTGCACGGGATACAAGTTCGGAAGCGTTTTTACTACTTCAACTCATTGCCAATGAATGCTATAAGTGTGAAGAATTTTGGTTTGCCGCAAAAGCTTTTGATATGCTAGAGAAGTATGTGTATATTATTTTTAATATTTAGTCCATAGTATTACTTATATTCTAACCGAAACACATTAATTTATGTATTGTAATGTTTTGTAAAAGAATTTTACTCAATTGTTATCAACAAAACCTAAATGAAAATCAAACTTATATCTAATGCACTAGAGAGCGGTGGTTCCCAAGGAACTGAGCCTCTATTATTATTATTATTATTCGAATTGATATTTTATTCTATATTATATAATAGTATATATCTATTAATGCTTAAATATGAACCTGTAATATTTGAACCTTTCATAATATTTGTATGTTTTTTTAGACTGGATCCTAGCCCAGAAAATTGGGAAGGTAAACGTGGTGCTTGTGCTGGAGTCTTGTTTGCGACAATAACAAAATATAAAAAAATGCAGATGCCACACTCGATTTCGGAAGTTATAGGATTATTGCGTGAATCTTCATATCCACAAGCAGAAACTATTATTAGAACTATACGCAAATATGCAAACATACTTAAGTAAATTAAATAAAATATATTAACTTATGATTTTAAATTGGAAATATAAAAATTTGTTTATAATATCAAGTATCGGAGTATCAAAATAATTATTAGGTATTTTACAAATATTTTAATTTATTCAAGAATTCAAAAGGAAGACATATCTAATCAAATAAAACTATATATTAAGGATAACATAATATAGATCTGAAAAATTAAGAAGAAAACGCGCTAAATCACACAAAGCTATATTATTATCTATTATTATATTATTACTATTACTCTTATGTTCAGGTTTAGCCATCTATTACTATTACTACTATTATATTTTTATAATAGAATATAAAAAATTACTATTATATTCTTCTTCTAAGTGCCTCTTGAACATGGCACTTGACTGTACACTGTCCCAACAAAGATACTAGAAGATCTCCTCAGCTTACAACAACAAAAGTATAGAGTAGGGTGAGAGCCTACTACGGGATAGTATATTTGATATCAGTTTTAGTAACTGTGATTAAAAAAGTAAAGAACTGATATTAGATATGAAAAACTATGGTTAGTATACATAAATCAGTTTTATCAGTTTTATCAGTTTAAGTAACTGTGATTAGTAAAAAACTACTATTATATATGAAAAACTGTGATTAGTATACAAAAGTATAGAGTAGGGTAAAGGCCTAATAGTAGTATCGGCAATAGTAATAGTACTTTTAGATAACAGATTAACGTTTTGCACATATTTTGATATAAAACGTTTCTGCTTTAAATCTCTAGGAAGATAATTGATAGTGAACAGTTCAGAGCACAATAAATTCCGGTGATTTTTCGTCCATAATAATCTGTCTGTCAAACGATGCTGTCGGTGTATTAACTATTTTGATCTTTTACTATTAGTAATTGTCTTTCAGGTCTAAGATACAAGTAATATTTATCTGCGATATCACAACTCTGGCTACTATTCGAGCTCAGTTGCGCTTCAAAGTGTCACACTGATGACAGTATTATTCGCACTAAAACGTATTCTTGGTTATGTATGATATAACCATGTCTAATTGAAGCATATTTACGACAACTTAATACAAAATATAATTCTACTAATATAAACATTCAGATTACATTCGAAAGCCTTACATTTTGAATTTTAATTTTCTTCTTCTTCTTCTTCTTCTTGAGTTAGTGCTATTACGCACTTTTACTCTATAATGACTGGGGGGTTAATCACTACCCCACACTAGGCTTTAACTAGGCTAAAAAATCATATCATTTATTTGTCTTTTAGTTGATGACGGACCTTAAATCAGCATATCTTCCTGAGAGTCCAGAAGTGGACTTGAGGATTGTTATGGCGGGGTTAAGTAGCGTATCAACTTTAGTGAATAATTTTAAAGCTCTGTCTCTGATATATTTTTTCACTGAGTCAATCCTAAGATCTCTATGTATGTCCGTAGATCTAATGTACCATGGAATCTTAAACAGTTTTCTTAAGGCCAGGTTTTGAGCTATCTGTAATTGCTTT